AAAATGATAAATTCATATTTATACCAAGAAATGTTTACATAGAATTCAAATTTAATGTTATATGAATTATTTATAACTTTGCAAAGTTAAATTTAACTTAAAACAAATAACAACTAAATGCATTTCTAATTACTATTATCAAATATTTATAGTATAAGTACATCCCAACTAGGTTGACACCTCCCCCTTTTTTTCAAATTAAAAAAAAAAAAAAATTCACGAGCCAACGGGTTAACCGCGGCCCGTGAAGGTGCAACCCGCGAAGCCTGCGGGTCACACCTCCTTGACCCGCAAATCGCCCGCTCGGGTCACGGGTCGGTCCGCAGTCCCGGGTCGATCCGAGTAGGTTTTTACGAGTCTGACCGATCCTTCCGTCTTGACACCGAGAGAAAAAATTATTAGTATTATGGAGTTTTTTGGTTCTGAATGTGAAGACTACAAACGAAGAGGGTTTCGCCTTTGGTGGATGCCGTGTGGATTGATTAGTAATGGGATATGAAATTATTGGTATTTGGAAATGGACAGCTAACTTAAAAGTTATAATTTATTTTGAAGGTTTAGATTTTAATTTTGCTCAAGTTTACCTTGCCTTCGGCCCCTATGTTTGGTGACCATAATATTTTGTTACGTTTTATAGTTATTACGCTAGAAATAAAAGGTTAGAAGTTTATCGCCAATTTAAGAACTTTTTTCTTTGAAAAACAATAAATAATTTTCCGGGTTTACAAAATTTGGCATCCCACATTTACAAATCTATATAGTTTTCTAGTGACACTTCAATCCCCCAAGTGTAACATTGAAATGGTCATATTCAGCCACTATAGATAGGTCTATTAAAATTATGGCTTATTAGCACAAAATGCCTACGTTTCGTTCTTAGTGTGCAAAACATCCTCACGTTTCAAATTTTTTGCATTTTCACCTTTATTTTAATGTTTCATTGTGGAATTCATTTTCATCCATTTTTATCCAATTTCTCAATTAAATGTGAAATGACAAATATATTCCTCTATTTAAATAAAATAAAAGGAAAAAAAATAAATTGCAATCATACTCCCATTTTTCAAAAGAAGTACAAATAAATCTTAAATAAATTAAAAAACAAAAAAGGTCTTCTTCATCTTTCCCCTCTCCTTGAAGATCAACTTCAGAACGTGTCTTTGCCACAATCGACAATGCATGTAGACCATTCTGCAATTCGTCTTACAACAAGTTGTAAATTAATCTATACCTCTTAACCAAACTATTGCGTTCAAATTCTTCAGAAACCACTTTCACATTAAATTGCGTCTTCCCATTGCTTCTCTTAACCCCATGACCCGCATGATGGTATGATATATCCTCAACTTCCAATTCAATAGGTCTCAGCTCTTTCTCCAATCTCTCCTTTATCCGTGTCCCTCTATTCTCTAATAAACTACCATTACCCACACCAGACTCCAAAGCACTGGACTTTCTTTGACATTTGATTTACCATTTTCACCATCTTCAACCTCAAATTTGAATTCTGAGCTTGGTTTTTTTCAACATATTCAAGAACCCATTATTCCTAAACGGAGTCAAACTCTACTACAACCTAAGAAGCACCACAAAATCAAGTGAAACCCTCATAATCCCTTCCA